TATACACTTTAAGCACTTGAAGATCCGATCATCACTATAGGGTCTGTCATGTAGATAGCTGACAGAAAGAATTGAAATGGTCAAATCTGTCTTATTGACATTCGAGGTGTATTGATTGATTTCCAAACATCAAACATGCACTGAGTAACACTCGGTAGCTGCCGGCAGCCTCTGAGCTGCTTGTTCACTGAATGAAATCATTAATTAGTAAAGATGAAAATACAGAAAACATCCTTCCATTCATCACTTACTCATGATGAAACTACTCATAAAGTATCTCTCGAGATCAGCTGCATTTCATGAGGAATGGCTCCACAGAGGATCAGGATATAAACTATTATCCAAAACTGGGCCAAAATAAAAACATGACAACATCAGCTAGAGCCTTTCTTCATGTTAGTCCATCAAGGGGTATCGACCCAATGAACTTATGTAACTGCTAAGATCACTTAAAGGTCAACTCTGGTTTACAACAGCTTGTGTCCTATCGTCATATGTTTTGAATCGTTATTTCAGCGGTTGTAATCAAACTGCACTCAACAAGTCAACTGCAGAGATCTGGACAGGTCATGTGACATCACAGGACGAAAGAATCCAACAAGAGAGGAATATGCAGTAAGACGATCTGTTACTGAACATTCATGGCCTAGAAGTTCATGTCTCAGATTATTCTAAACAACACTTATGATAGATAGTCATATGCCATGTGTAGGCACTTACGCCACCATGCAGTGAGTTGTAGAATGCAACTAACTACAAATCCCATGTGTGGAGTGTGAAAGAAGTTCCAAAAGTCAGTGTTTGGACGGTCCATTCTGGGCTGTGGAAGAGACGACCCTATGTAAGTATATGAAGGCTCTCTAGTGATTCTATCTTACTCAACTATGAAACATGATAATGAATATCATATTCCATTTTGCCAAGCGAATTGCATATATGACATGAAGAAATCAAAGTAATCACTGATGGAAGGACGGCCAACGTGTAACAGTGATGAATGTTTACTCTCGACCTCATTTTCTGTCAGCACTCTACAGCTAATCTAATCTAATATATTATATAAGTTGAATGCAACAGAAAAATGGGTAAACTGTGATTTAGTTGCAGTTTTCTGAGATTATTTACACGAACATTTTACCTGGAGATGGCAATCTCCACTTTGGTTTTGGCAATGGCTGCTGCTCTTACTGCTCCTTCGATGGCTCGATCCACCTTCTGTTTGGTCTTGGTGTTCTTCAGCGGGATGAGGTGCTTCTTGATTCCCCGGGCCAACGTGTTGTTCTTGTACTTCCCTTCTTCCTGTGTGCCATCAGGAAAGATGGTGCAGCCATAGCCATGGCGCTTATTGTTCAACCATTCACCTTCGTACTTCATGCCGTTGGAGCGCTCAGAGACACCGAAGCCGCTGCGCTTGTCGTTCTTCCATTCACCCATGTAGGACTCGTGGTGGTGGCATCCACATTGTCTTCCTGAGTCAGGTAGTCATCGCCTGGGTCTCCGTACTCACAAAGCTAATGGTGGAGTTGGCGGTCGCTTGAACTGATGCGGCTCCATGGTGGTGTCACTTGTGTCCGAGCTGCGCTTACTGGAAATTGACGAGGCGCGATGTCTGATTTGCGCAGTCGCTGAAGGCTGCCGAAGAGGGAGCCACGGCGAAAGAGACCCTTCTTCTTCTCTGAACCCTTCCGTCTGAGTTGAAGTTGAGCACGAAACCGCCCACGTGTGCCGGCAGGGCTGTCAGAAAGGCTGTCACGCAGCACTGTACCATTACTCTCTGCTCCACTGCGGAGGAAGCGCAGTTTGAGGTTCGTAGGACGGTGAGCGGGTGAAAGAGGCCATGACCCGTACGCGGGACACTCTGACCGTACACCGTAGCCATGACGCATCCCACCAGTCCACTGACCCTGGTACGTACCTACGAGATAACAGAGGGAGGGAGAGAAAAGACAGACAGTGAGTGAACCGTAAAAAACAGAAATAATAAATGTGGAGAGACAGAATGGTATGAAGATAAAAAAGTGAGCAATAAATGAGAATAATAATAACAAAACTGTTTAGTCAATACAGACGTCACTGAACTGAGAGTAATAATTCAAGAATGCATGATTGTTGAGAAGATCTGACAGGAATTAATGTCTAAATACTTTTGATAATAAGAGATTCTAGTTTCATTTTCAAATATCAATTTTGGATGACTACGTGATGAAAAATCAGACCCCACACCGGAACCTGCTACAACAAGCTGCCACTCAATGTGGCGCCATAATGAGACGTAAGGTTATGGCATTGGTGTCGTGCTGCTGGAGCGCAGTGGACGGACGCTTTAAGCACTTGAAGATCCGATCATCACTATAGGGTCTGTCATGTAGATAGCTGACAGAAAGAATTGAAATGGTCAAAGCTGTCTTATTGACATTCGAGGTGTATTGATTGATTTCCAAACATCAAACATGCACTGAGTAACACTCGGTAGCTGCCGGCAGCCTCTGAGCTGCTTGCTCACTGAATGAAATCATTAATTAGTAAAGATGAAAATACAGAAAACATCCTTTCATTCATCACTTACTCATGATGAAACTACTCATAAAGTATCTCTCAGAGATCAGCTGCATTTCATGAGGAATGGCTCCACAGAAGATCAGGATATAAACTATTATCCAAAACTGGGCCAAAATAAAACATGACAACATCAGCTAGAGCCTTTCTTCATGTTAGTCCATCAAGGGGTATCGACCCCAATGAACTTATGTAACTGCTAAGATCACTTAAAGGTCAACTCTGGTTTACAACAGCTTGTGTCCTATCGTCATAGTTTTGATCGTTATTTCAGCGGTTGTAATCAAACTGCACTCAACAAGTCAACTGCAGAGATCTGGAAACATGGTGACATCACAACAAGAAGTCCAACAAGAGAGGAAATATGTGCAGTAAGACGATCTGTCTGAAACAGGTTCATCCAGATTATCTAAACCACTTTATGTAGAGGTCAAACTTAAAGCATCCATGTGTAGGATTTAGCGCCATCTAGCAGTGAGGTTGTAGATTGCAACTAACCTACAGTGGCCCTGGGGTAGTGTAAAAACACAAGAGTCCCAAAGTCAGTGTTTGGACGGTCCATTCTGGGCTGTGGAAGACGACCCTATGTAGATATGAAGGTCTCAGGTGATTCTACACTAATGAAAACATGATAATGAATATCATATTCCATTTCTGCCAAGCGAACCCCATAATAAGCACTCATTGCACAGATAAACAGTGAACACAAATATGGAAGGACGGCCAACGTGTAAACAGTGATGAATGTTTACTCTCGACCCTCATTTTCTGTCAGCACTCTACAGCTAATCTAATCTAATATATTATATTAAGTTGAATGCAACAGAAAAAAGGGGTAAACTGTGATTTAGTTGCAGTTTTCTGAGATTATTTTACACAGGACATTTTACCTGGAGATGGCAATCTCCACTTTGGTTTTGGCAATGGCTGCTGCTCTTACTGCTCCTTCGATGGCTCGATCCACCTTCTGTTTGGTCTTGGTGTTCTTCAGCGGGATGAGGTGCTTCTTGATTCCCCGGGCCAACGTGTTGTTCTTGTACTTCCCTTCTTCCTTGGTGCCATCAGGAAAGATGGTGCAGCCATAGCCATGGCGCTTATTGTTCAACCATTCACCTTCGTACTTCATGCCGTTGGAGCGCTCAGAGACACCGAAGCCGCTGCGCTTGTCGTTCTTCCATTCACCCATGTAGGACTCGGTGGTGGTGGCATCCACATTGTCTTCCTGAGTCAGGTAGTCATCGCCTGGGTCTCCGTCTCCAAAGCTAATGGTGGAGTTGGCGTCGCTTGAACTGATGCGGCTCATGGTGGTGTCACTGTGTGCCGAGCTGCGCTTACTGGAAATTGACGAGCGCGAGTCTGATTTGCGCAGTCGCTGAAGGCTGCCGAAGAGGGAGCCACGGCGAAAGAGACCCTTCTTCTTCTCTGAACCCTCTCCGTCTGAGTGGAAGTTGAGCACGAAACCGCCACGTGTGCCGGCAGGGCTGTCAGAAAGGCTGTCACGCAGCACTGTACCATTACTCTGCTCACTGCGGAGGGAAGCCAGTGAGGTTCGTAGAGGTGAGCGGATGACAGAGGCCATACCGTACGGGACACTCTGACGTACACCGTAGCCATGACGCATCCCACCAGTCCACTGACCCTGGTACGTACCTACGAGAACAGAGGGAGGGAGAGAAAAGACAGACAGTGAGTGAACCGTAAAAAACAGAAATAATAAATTGGAGAGACAGAATGGTATGAAGATAAAAAAGAGTGACGCAATAACAGAATAATAATAACAACTGATTATAGTCAATACAGACGTCACTGAACTGAAGAGTACATGAATTCAAGAATGCATGATTGTTGAGAAGATCTGACAGGAATTAATGGTCTCAATACTTTTGATAATAAGAGATTCTAGTTTTTCATTTTCAATAAATTTGCAAACATTTTATGAAAAGAATCATAAGAGTCGACCATAAACATAACCCTCCTTCTAATTCACATTGATTCTGTCCTAGAGCCCCACAAACAACAATTGTCATTTTACAGTCCAGTCTGTTACTGCTTATCTACTGCTGGCAATAAAACCTTGGGAACAAAATGCTGTAGCACTGTCCAAATCAAAGACATAGAGTAGTGGACGTCAAAAGACAACAGACAAAAGTGGACAGTAAGTCAACAGTGAAATGGCTATGAAATGGCTCCTTACACCAGCATACTTTAACATCAAAATTACAATTACAAGTCCAAAAATTCTAAAAATGTGACGGTAGTTTTTTTTTCTATAGTACTGTAGGTACCAGCGGTATGTAGATGTTGTAGGCACAGAAGATGTGATTCCTGCAGGACTGATGAGGGAAGCATAATAAGGAGTGGACGATCTTACTTTGACATAGTCTCTGCTAACCAGACCATGTTAACTGTTAAACAGCTAGCCTGCTAACTGCAGCTGGGGACAGCGGCCCTTGTTCTGCTCCGCAGCTCGGTGAGTTGGGCGTAGAGGCACATGTAGCAGTTCTCCACCTGAGCAGAACAAGAACCACCATCGAGTTACAGTCCGTCTGTGGGACCCAAGGCGGGACAAGCTGGGACAGAGACTGAACTCAAATGAAAACACCTCCGTATAGCACCTCATGAATAAATGACAGAGCTGTCCAAATGAAAAATGAATACTCTGTATGAACTCAGCAAAAAGTGTGATTGGTTGTGACACAGTTTGTAAACAGAAGACAGCATTGTGGGAGAAGAGTAGCAACTAGCAGACAATCATCCGAAAGAAGCAAAGAAGCAAGTGGCAGAAAGATACGAATCATAACTTCCAGTCAGAACTTAAAATCAGAGCGGGAACGGGATGCAGATCGTGATCCAGATTGTGGACTGCAATTTTATCCAACATGATCATATTTTGGCCAGATCACCCACCCCTAGTAATAACCCTACAAGCATTCTAGTCTGACATCAACTCCAATAGAAGAAGGCAGCACGTACAGTAAACCATAGCAACATGTGGAGCGGCAGCAACAACAGGTCCACCATGATTAGTGGGAAAAAACACACAGCAGCAATGGCTCCTTTTTTTTCTTGTGGCTTCATTTTTAATTTCTAAACGCTTGGCCTATGGAGATATTTTGTATTTGATCATCAGGGATGAGTTATAGATGACCAAAATCAAGTATGCAAACAGTGTCACAGAGGAAGAAGCAGCTCACACTGATCTGAGCAGCTCAGAGACAGACATCAGGTCTGTACAGAGTTCAGACTGAGTGAGTTTCAGTTGTTCATTCACAACAACACAGGCTGCCATCATCACCGTTCAGTCACAATATAGCACTGACTTTTTAATGGTGTTTTCAAACCATCGGTCTGTCACCATGTCAGTCAATTTAAACCACTGCCTGCAAACCCAGTAAACCCAGTTACTGTCTGTGAGTCCAAATCCAGCTTTAGTATAAACTCATGCACTTTAGAGTGGGACAGTGTGAGACACTAACAGACGATACGCTCAAACAGTGATGCATCTTTTCCTGTTCATCACCAGGTAATTCACAGCTTTATGTTCTGCTGGGACTGTAATCATCAATTCAGCCAAGCATTTAATACAATTTTTTTAATACAAACTTTCCACAGAAAATGTGAAACAAAACACAGACAATGGGTTTTAGATTATGGACAGGACCATGATACTGCAATTATTATTATTATTATTATTATTAAAATACTGCATTATTTACAGATATTTTATATATTTTGCTCTGGATTCTTGTTGCAGTTTCATTTAGAGACAAAGTGAAAGATCATCTCAAGCCTCGTCATACAATTTCAAAATATGGAGATATTAAATTGATGATATTAATATCATCTTCAAAACTCCAGTATGACTGTAATACAATCGAAGTGCACAGATATTAAGATTTCACACACACACACACACACGTTGTTATAGCTCTGGGGATATTACTTAGATTTTGGGCATGGGCCAATATTCAATTATATTTAATATTGTGATATTTCCCACCATATGCAATATTTTTAAATTTTTTTTGTAATTTTTGTCGAATGTTTTTCAGATTAGCACAGTCTGCTCTGCTGCAGAGTCCAACCCTCATTTCACTGCTGAGCCTGCTGGACACTGAACCTCATTATTTGACAAATTAAACTTTCAACTGCTGTTTAGTGGCAGCATCATTTATACCTGAAACATAAAATACAGTAATACAATAATATAAATCTTTAAATAACTTTAACATTTTTAAATCACCCAAGCCTAATACACTTCCATTCATTTCTTGTACACAGCTTTCCCCAATTAAGTCAAATTTGTCTGAAATTTGTTCAAACATACACACACAGACACACACACACACACACACACACACAGACAGACACACACACACACACACACACACACACACACACACACACACACACACACAAACAATCTCTTTAAACTTGACTGTATGTGACAACCAGCTTTATGAAACAGCCTTGTGTTGAGTCTTAAATGTCACTGTCCTAATATTTCTTATTCCATCTTGATAACATCATGGCTGCGGTGGTTTATTGACAGTGAGGAAAAGATCAGGTAATCGTCAACACAATCACATGTATTTAACTGCAGCTTGGCGTCAGCTTGGTGAGAGTGAGTGAGTTGGCCTCTAATCTTTGAATCACTGCTGTTTCTATTGATTAACGTTCTTCCTTCCTGCTATTATCCAATCACTTTAAATTCAAGACGGTTCATTCCCCTTAACATTCAATCACTTCACCTTAAACCATATCTCCCAGCCATGCAGGAGCTAATCACTAATCAGCGTGCCAATCAGCTGTTCCCGGGTCTGGCTGTCTCACCGATCTGCACCCCACCATCTCCACTGGTACCAAGGCTTCATTTAGAAAACCTGAGCAGAGATGAGACAAGTACATCAACACATGCATTACATTCAAATATTAAAAGCCTCCAACAGACTTTTCTCACAGCAGAACTTTGACTGTATGTAAAACCATTAGTGACGGCTTCACTCCATGTCAGTGCCCCAGTAAGCCGTACCATTGAACCAGTGTGCAGCCACAGCCCTGGGATGGGAACACCGAAACTGAATGCAGTTGTTAATGTCTTAATTCAATTAAATTACAGCTGTGTTTTTCCTGATAAAACAGGAAATATCCCCAAAATTTTACTGTGAACTAGGGCTGGGCGATATGGTACAGAGCGGAGAATGGCCACATTCGCATATATTTTTTTAAACTCAAGATAATAGAGCTGGTTATCCTGAGATAACGAGATATCATCAGCAGAAAACGATTTAGACTGAACCTCATACACTAAGTTGCACTAACACTCCTACTTAGCAACACTCCTTATTAACTTGTCAAATAAATGTTTCCTTATGTGGGTTTACAGAGGACAATAAAGTTCATCCTCAACAACCACAAGATCAGAAAAAAGACACAAACGTTGCTCTTCAGGGACATTTTCATATCTGCCAGTGGTAAAGTACCAGTTCTCATCTGAGCACACAGACACCTTTGCATTCTCTGGAAATTGAATTTTACAGTATATATGGTTCTGTATAGTTGTCAACTTTAATATGGATGTAGTTTCTAAGCTCTGTGTCTGTTGTGTGTAAAAACATATGTTAAAAGAAAAATATATCTCTCATTCTCTATATATTATGTCAACATTTAACACTGTTTCCTTGGTATTGTTCCAGACCGCCTATGGTCAAATCCTGATTTTATAACTGTGACGTCGTCTGACAAAATCAGTAAACACATAAATGAAAGACAAAGACTGAGCTGTGATTTCAGCTGGATTTACTGTAACATGATCTCTCACAGAGAAAGGTAGAAGAGGCACAATATCTTTCTTTGCTTACAGTTGTTTTTTCAGGCTTTTGCCTTTATTACAGTCATAGTGAGAGAGAGACAGGAAAATTGCGGAGGGAGAGGGAGAGGATGACATGCAGCAAAGGGCCACAGGCCAGACTCGAACCTGGGCCGCAGCAGCAAGGACTAAACCCAAATGTCACGTGCTCCACCAGGTGAACAATCGGGGCCCGAGACAGACTATCTTTGCTATTCAGTCTCTGACACACAGCACAGCCTCCGTCTCGATCCACAATAGTTTAGTCTTTATTTACTTCAACTCCAGAACGTCACAGACTTTTATTAGAGGCAGGTCTTTATGTCTAACTCTCTGTTTGATACGTAGAGTTGGTCATAGCAGTTAGTATGAAGCCTTGTTACCGATGACTTCTCTCTCTCCCTCCCTCAGTCACTCAGTCAGTCAGTCAGTCAGTCAGTCAGCGACATTCACGATTATAGGGCTGGTCCTGCTGTCCAGCCAAAAAAGGAAACACTGATCTAGAACAAAGTAGATAAAGCTGTGGATCAAAACTTGATTTTTTGGCCAATGTGATGCTCTGCTCTGTGTCCCTGCAGTTATTTCTATATTTTTAATCATTTTATTTTGTTACTCACTCATCCTCTCATTACAGATCCTTTACTTTCTGCCTCACCCTGACTGGTTTTACCTATCTTTCATTGTCTTCTCCTTCCTGAGGATGTCACAATACCAGAAATGTGGTAGTTGGTACCAATATCAGTGAAATTCCAGAAAAGCATTGTTATTGTTTACTGTGTCTTCTTCTTCTCTTTGAGTTTGA